GAAGTTAAAGCTTGTTAACTTCACCTGGCTCTTCCACAGGAACTGATATTTCCAATACTTCTAAATTTAATGCTTACAAGACTGCAAGATAGCTTTTCCTGTTTCATATCTTCAGTGGTTCAAGGCTTATGACACAGATGTACTACAGCTAAACCACAAACCACTTACTATTTTAAAATCTTACTTTAAAAAACCTAGGATAAAACAGTTGCATTATGGAGACCGGCAGTTGTTTAATGTGGTTACCAGTCACACTGCCATTATTAGACAATATTGGCCAGGAAAAGAAAAACAGTTTCAGCAATTACAATACATGAATATATGGATTCCAAGCCCAGCATCCTTTGATGAGGATTGCTTTAGCCTGCTCAGAAACCGTGACCCATAACACATCAGAAGACTATCCAGATTTAGGATAGTACACATCTCAAGAAAAACGCATATACACCCAGATCACTTCTACTTGGACAATGTCTTATTACAAAATACATTGTTTTCAATTACAAAAGATTACCGATCATCTTTTAATTTAATGTCTCTATCCTATAACTGCTATTTCTAGAGTACTTCTAAGTCTTCTAAATTTCATATTTTTTTATAATCTTTGTTCTAACCTCTCTTTTACTATAATCCTAAGGTCTAACTAGAAGAATTCTATTCCTTATTATTTCATTATTCTTTCAAATAGTGCAATTGCAGTTCTATATTAACACCATCTGTTCTGGTCCCAGTCCTGCACGCTACCAACTATTTCTTCCTTAGCTAAATTATTTCTGGGTAGGTTTCAGGTAGCATAGGGACTGGTTACTTGAACTACTGCCTGTCTCCCATAATATCTACCTGGCTAATTTGATCTGGCAGGATTGGTGAAGTTCTGATTCCATCAATTAGACACTGCCACTTATTGGGGTCCAAGAAGCACTTCTTTGTAGCAGCATATAACAATTAGTTAACAATTTGTAAATCACCTGGTCCTAGAATCACTGGAAGCTGGTCAGCTTATAAACTGATTCTGATTCTTATCATGGCATTGAAACTGCTGCTGGTGTCATTTGCATAGCCATATTTTAACATTTTAAGGGTATCTAAGAAACACAGGTTACCACTGCTAAGATGGCTTGTGTCCCTTACATGTCCTTTAACATATGAAACTAGTAAAAACCCACTACTGAGGGTCATGCTAGCCTATGACTTCCACAAAACCCATCCAGTCTCTCCTTTGCCTTTTCTTCTCCAACCTTTGGCTGGTGCTGCTAGAATTAAGCTTCTCTGGCATCTTGTCTCCAAAGGCCTTTCTTTCCCTAATCCTCAGCTATAGAGGAGCACTTCAGCAGCCTTCCAAAACAGACGTGGACATTTATGACTGCAGATATATCTCCTACAGGATTTGGGGTTTTCTTTCTTTCTTTCTTTCTTTCTTTCTTTCTTTCTTTCTTTCTTTCCTTCTTTCTTTCTTTTTCTTTTCTCTTCTTTTCTTTTCTTTCTCTCTTAAGTTTTGTTCTTCTCTCTTATAGCACATTAAAATCTAACACTTCTACTAATATTCCACTATTAATTCCCCCTATTATATAATATTTTTGTCTTGTTTGTGTCTGAATTATATTATGGAATAAGAAGTTTTTGAACAGGATGTGAAATATAATGTTTAAATATACATTAAAGTGGATAAAGCTTGTGGACAGATGTCTCTTGTTTAATCACCAAAATGAGATGAGCATCAAATATTTATACCTTTTGATCACAAAAAAATCATCCATGGTTGCAACATTTCCTTTCAAATTCAGTTGCAGGTATGCCCGGAAGAAGTCTAGGGGTACATTCAAGAAAGCAGGAATTCTGCAACTATGCACATGGTTCAGATGGCTCTGAAGGAAAAAAAAATGGATGATCAAGTCACACTTGAAACTTGGTCTGGAAAAATGTATGACCAAAAAGGAAGGTAACAAAAAAGAAACCTCTCATCCAGCTAAAATTCTAGCCAATGCCGTCATTTTATCTTTGAAGTTTGGTTAACTACCTTTTCCTGCTCAAAGATCATGCTTCCTTTATGTTGGTTACCGTTAGGATAATCTGTACTGCAATACATGAGCCCAGCAAAACTCATGTAGCAGAATGTTATGAGGTGTTTACCATCATAACATAACATAACTGGGGGGGAGACAGGCTGCATTTTTAAAACTCTCCTTCTCCAGTTGTGATGCTGTAAGTCCAAAGTCTCCTCAGACATCTTTCCAACGCAACCTCAGTATATGCCACAATCACAAGAAAATCTGCAGCAGTGAGTCCATCATTTTGCCCACTGAGATGGGAGACCCAGCACTTAATAGCTTCTGTGAAACTTACAAGTGCTCTCTCCAGGGTGCATGACTTACAGTATGTGGGTGATGGAAGGAAATCTTTATATTTTTCTAATTGGTGTGACTGCCTAAACATTATCTGCTTTCATATAAACAAATGAATTATTATAAAGTATACTGGTAAAGAAAAGTAAAGTACTGTATGTGAGGTCACTATTTCATGAGCACGCATCCTTCTTTCTGGTAAAATCTAGCTTTTGGTTATCAAGCAAACGCCTTTCAAATATATTTGCAATATATAAGTCAACATTTCTCTTGCAGTTTCACCTATTAAAATAATATATATTGTGTAACCATTTTATAAACAAGAAATTGGTGTGGTGCTTTGAATTCTACTCTGTCTACTTTAACATTATCATCTCACATTTTTCCTCATAACCAAAGCCAGAAAACTATATAGTATTCCTATGAAAGAAAGAAAAAAAGAATATATTAAGGAAATTAACATTGATCATAGAATACAAAGACAGTTTATTTTTTTAGTGACGGGTGACCTAGCTTGGAAATTAGTCCACTGCCCAATGATGGCTTTCAAATAAATAACACAGATCAGCAGTATAAAGATTATATTATTATCCAATAATCAGGTGCCAATATGTACCCAAAGAAAAAATGAAAGGCTTCAAAGAGAACTGCAGGCAAATACTGTACAATGAGTACTTAGAATTCTTTTCTTCAAGTTCCAAGACAGAAATAGCTGAGGATTTTTCATTATTATCGATCATCGCACAGTCAGCCAGATGTTCAGACTGGATTTGGCATTTTGTCTACCTATCGAGTCCTTACCCAGGACCTGGGATAGGCAGATGTGGATGTTTGATGGTATTACAGATATCGTCGCAGGATTGAAGCAGTTCCTAGTAAGGCCGCCTTTTGCAATTGACTAATAGCGAATTTGTCAATGCCAATGGTGTTCAAGTGGTGCTCCAGTTGTTTTGGGATTGCACCCAAGGAGCCTATTACTATTGGTACTACCCTTGCTTGCTTTTGCCACAGCCTTTCTATTTCTATTTGTAGGTCTTTGTATTTATTTATCTTCTCCAGTTCTTTCTCTTCTATTCTGCTGTCTCCAGGCACTGCCACGTCCACTATCCAGACTTTTTTGTCTTTCTTATCAACAATTGTTAAGTCTGGGGTGTTATGTTGCAATTGCTTGTCTGTTTGAATTCTGAAGCAGTTTAATTTTAGAATAAAATGAGAAACAAAAACCCTTCCTTTGCAGGATTTCTAAAATGTGCAGCTCTAAGTTATTTTTGGGGGGGAAAGCTGTTTAATTTAAATCCAGAAAATCATTATTGATATCATGAGATAGGCAAGGCCACAGGAAATGAGGTTTTAGTAATTACTAGGATCCCAATATGCCACTTTCCTGTTTATATTGTACTACTGTATATGTAGTTTGACAGTCAGTAACCTCCTAATAGGTCTATCAAAGGTCTTCTTTAGCTTTTTGACAGTTTTTATTTTTAATTTTTTTAAATTTCTTTTTGGTGTTATTCAAATTTAAACTTCTGTCATAAATTCAGGAGGCAACCTTCATTTTTGTATAACATTGCAACCAATACTTTGCCACTTTCTTCCTCTTGCCCTCCATCCTTCAAATGCTTATATGCTGTACATATCCTCATAGTAGCTTCTCAAAACTTTTTGCGAACCATCTCATATACATGAATAATAGTATAAGAAGAGGCACTAATATTTATTATACTTTAGTGGATGAATCGCCCGTATAAATGAAGTCAGATCCTACATTTCTATAATTTGCAGATTCTTACAACCCAGAAGGTCTAGGTGGAGTTTGAAATAATTAAAGTAGTAAAGATATGATACAAATTGGTGGGAATTTGCCAAGAGAACTAAGGAACTTTGAATCAAGTAACAAAGCTCCCTATCTGCAACAAGTAGTTGGTATCAGAGGAACTTCTAATTGTATCATGTGTAATATATTTGTGTATATGTATGACTGCTGTTTCTTTATAAAGTTGTTCTTGTGTAGTCCAAATTTGATACTCTTCTTATTGGCAGAAAAAGGGGGAGGGAATTGTCTCACCACACCAGCCAGAATGAAAAATGTTGTTTTTTGGGAGAGTTGCTCCACTGAAACACACACATAGAGAGAACACAAACTATGTCCCTCTTGTTTCATCCTGCAGCCCACAGGCACCATTATGGCAGGTCCACTGCTGCTCAGGCTGATCTGGTTTTTCTGACAGAAGGTTGGGCTTAAGACATGGTAGATATAGGGGAAGGGCCTAGCTTGAAAGTTCCAGACTCTCCAACAACCTGAAGCAGAATAGCCCTTGAAGGTCCAAGAAATGGGGAAGAGGAGAAGAGGTACATGGCTGTTCCCATTCCCAGCAATCAACTAACTGTGCTATCATCTGAATGGTCTGCAAAAGTGGCCAAGATTATCCCCATGGCAAAAATACAATGACTCATTGACTGTTTAATAGGGAAAACACCAGGTTACTTAAAGACACATTTAAGTTACCTCAGGTGTAAGTGGAGGCGAGATGAAAACCATCTCATGAGCTCATAGACAGAAGAAAGTTTATGGATGTAATTGCTCATCACTTCGTAAAAACACATTAATCAGATTCAAATCACCCTTTGCAACAGGTGCTTTCAAAATGCAATATCAAATTCAAGTGTTCAATCCAAATTTATTAATTAATTACAGTGTTATTTCAACTCTTGCTGTTACCTAACAGTTTGCAACATCTTCCATTAGGGCCACAATTGGCTAAATATTGCACACCAAAGAAGCAAGGTTCTTGTTAGGAACATGGCAATAACCTCCCAGGTTTTCACAAGTGCTTGTTAGTGGTAGTTTCACTGCAGAAAAGAAAAAGAAGATTTTATTACTGACGTGACTTTGTCTATCCCAAAACAATAGACAGAGGTGTAGACAGGTGGGAGGGGGAAAGGATAATTCCAGATTTTATAGTGAATCTAATCAGTAAACTTCTTATTGTTTCTATTGTCCAATCATTAAAATGTAACAAGCTGTGCCTGGTCATATTGAGGTTCTGCTTGAATCTCTCTTGATCATAAAAAAAAAAAAAACTAGCTCAGCATCCAGTATCCAACAATAGTTATCTACATGTCTCAGAGAAACTTACAGGCAAAATTTCTTGTATGAAATTTGGGAATTAAAGAGATTATCTCATAGTATTTATAATGTGGAGTTCAGCCATGCTATTATTACGCTTGTCCAGGGGTCTTCAAACTTGGCCCTTTTATGACTTGTGGACTTCAACTTCCAGAATTCCTCAGCCACAGTGCCAGGCTGAGGAATTCTGGGAGCTGAAGTCCACAAGTCATAAAAGGGCCAAGTTTGAAGACCCCTGTCCTAGTCATTCCCAGTCTATTCTACCAAACCTCATTCACCTCCAATTTGTTTTCACAATCTCCAGATCAGAAGCACTTTCAGGAACTTGGTACTTTCAGTTGAGTGAAGGTAAAATGTGTGCTCAGAAAAGTGTTGAAAAAGCTCAAAATGGTGTTGTTTAATAATTGTTTAAGAGAAGGTGGAAAGTCATTCTACTTCATAACTAGCATTTTTTTCTTTCTATTTTTTTCTTGCACTTCCTTTTTGTCTTCTTTTCTTTTTCTTAATAATAAAGAAGTCAGATTGCTTTTTCTTAAATTGCTAATAAGGCTTCTCAATTAGGCTTTCCAGATATAAGCTATAAAACTCCAGATGACCAATAGCTGATAGCAAATAGAGAAAATGCTTATTACCTTGCAAACAACAATGCTTATATATAGAGTTTTGCAACAGAAAAATGCTATGCCCACATATTTCCCATATCATAACTAAGAAAGAAATGGATCTCACCAGTGGAAGCTTGCAGCACTTGGCATTAATGCCACAGTTGTATGGAAGACTTCCATGCACACATTTTTTATGGAGGCCAACCTGGCAGAAGCCACCATCCTTTTTACAGGCATCAGGTTGTCCTGCATTTATGAAAAAATATTATTTGAATGAACAATTGTCATTGAAACAGAATGGTTATATATTTCATATATAAATCGATAAAAATGGAGATGAAATAATATGATTGACCATATGTAGCTAACATATTTCCTAGCTGTATGGCTCTTGCAAAGATTTCAAATATTTGACAAGATTATCCAGTTGCACTCTTTAAAATAATCCTATGTCAGATCAGTAGAAAGATCCCAGAGGCACCTGCAATAATGAAATCAGCATCATATTGATATGAAGGAACCTCTAGCCCTTTTCTGTGCATGTTGTATAAATGCACAAAAGGGCAGAACTTGCCACTCTATCAACATGATGCTATTTTCTTCATGTAGTCCTCTTGTCTGTTCCATGGATGCTACTACATTATCCCCAATATTGCATGTGGAAACTAGTGAACCCCAGAAAAGAATGGGTTCTCAAACGATATTGAGGGATAGCAATATAGTCTCATCTTCATCCTTTTAAGTATATCTTTTAGCACAAACATGTGCCAGGATAAAGTACTTTCATGCCAAATGGAATGCTGAAAGTTGAGCATTTTTAGTCTATTCCTTTCAGAAGATGTCCAAAAAGAACTCCTGCCTGATTTCAATGGTTTCGAGGCACTGCAGAGGGTTGGGTCAGGTGGTCTCTGAAGTCATCTCAAATCTACAGATCGATGACTCAGTGGCAAAAAAAATGGCAGGCTCTGGGCCCTTTTGATGTGGCTTGGAGAGATTTTAGGATTCAAGAGGGGCCTTCAAAAGAACCATATGTTTAAGGCTATCTTAACACCAGCTAGCTCCTCAAAGCACCCTTTCTTCACAGACAGCTCTTTTGTCACTCACCAAAGTTATCTTTTTATCCTGAAATGAATTTCATTTAACTGGACTTTCTACAATACATTACTTACTATTTTTGTTGTAATTACTACCATTATTCTCACAGTTATTCTATTTACATCCTCATTTTCTCTGAGCAGCTTCCAAACTTTACATGAATCCCTAATTTAATCCTCAGAATAGGATCTCTTATGGGGCAAGATAAATTGAGAGAGGGCATTTGGCCAAAGGTCACCAGGGAGCTTGGTGGCCAAACAGGGACTTGGACTGGTCTCTCCCCAGTCTAAATCCATCACTATATTACTCTGGTTGCCATGCTAAAGTTTCACATAAATGTGATAGAGGGGATATAAACTACATGTGTTCTTTATTTAGCAACTAAAATTTGGACTAGCAATTTGGTTGTTAGGGCAAGCAGACCTGAGAAGGTCATGAACGTGATGATTGATTACAAAGGCTCTTTTCCATCATCTTTGGAACGGAAAATGATTGCTAAATGAGCACTACCTATAGAAGGACATATTTGAAATTCTGAGCGCATTAAATGCATGCATAACCAGAGGGGATGAATTCACAGAAGAGGAATCTTGCTTCGTTAAAAACAAGTGGTTCCTACATGGAGCTTAATCCAGTGAGCAATAATTGGATCTTCCTGCTTTTCTCAGAATTCTCACCACAAGCTCTGTCCTGTGAGGGAACATGCAACATTGCAATGTACATAGAAAGGGGCACTCATTTCATCTGTCTGCCCATCTGGCTGCTGCATGCAGAGATCACTGGCTTACTTAGTTACCCAAAATTGATTTACTAGTTGAAGAAGAATTTTAGTATACTATTATCATCCAAAGGTAACATTGGGGGGGGTCATAGACCCAATAAATCCTTGTTAAGGGATAAAACTTTGCTTCATAGAGTGCTGTCTTCCAAATTAATGTTTTTCTTTCATTAAAATTCAGGATGATTAAAGAGCCAGAAGACTCCAAGCTGACTGTCTGGGGTTATAAAACAAAGATTTTTTTTAATGAAAGAAGGTTTGCTGAAAAGAAGCTGTGGTTCACTTTCCAATTTTGACATTCCTTGCATTGCTTCTTCTATATTTATTTAGAAAATGAAGCAGATTAAGATAAACATCATGCAGAGTAGTTTATGAAGTTCACAGTTAGCCAGTCCTTTCCTCAACCTACAGGTGGCGATAGCAATGAAAGCTCTCTTGGGTCTTTATAAAATCACTGGGACAAGATATATTGCAAGAGTGAACAGTAGTAGAGCAGAAAATGTTGTTTCCTCGTTGTTTGGGAGACTCCACTTCTTGTAACAAATGGAATACTGATCCTGACATTTCTGAAAACACTTGAGAAACTTGGGGATAATCTCATATTTGCTGATGGGAATGTGTAAGATTGGCTGCTGAGCAATGGAAAAGAAGTCTATAGCAATTACAGCAGTAGGAAAATCTAACAACTAAGTAGCATTTTTTTTCAAATACTGAAAATGAAGGGGAACCCCAAGCAGAAACTGCACCAACCGCACAACCTAAATGCTATGGACTTAAGGATACTAATAAAGGGCAACATGAAAGTGAACAATAAAGGAATAGAAATTGGAAGAAAGAAGGGACAAGGGAGATGTGTCAATATGTTCCTAGGAAGAATTAGGCAACTCTCTTTAGTCACAGATTCTGCTGTGAACCTGCAACAAAATCAGCTGCCTAAAGCAACATGTAGCTTGTTTTATGAAACATACTTCACTCTATGCCCAGGAAAACAAACACATTTGGGGGATTGGGGGAACTTGGTGGCATGGACAACTCCCATTGTTGTTCTTACCATTTTGACTTTTTCTGGGAACACTCCTCTCCCACCACCCCTAGCAAGCAATTCTTTTTAGAAAAGAATAATGGTTGTATTCACTTAACATTCTGCAATTCAATAAATAAGATTAGTAAATAGGCAAGAAAATGGTAAGTGAGCACCTGTCCAGCCTAGACGAGTTCAAATCACCAGATAGATTACATCCCAGGGTTCTTAAGGAACTGGCAGATGTGATCTCAGAACCACTGAACTATATTTTTTCAAAGATCGTGGAGCACTGGGGAACTACCAGAGGACTGGAAAAGAGCTGATGTAGTTCCCATCTTCAAAAAAGGAAAAAAAAAATGGACCCAGGAAATTACAGACCTATCAGCCTGACCTCAATACCTGGGAAGATCCTGGAAAAGATAATCAAACAACGAATCAGTGAACACCTAGAGGCAAACAAAGTCATTACTAAAAGCCAACATGGGTTTGTCAAAAACAGATCATGCCAGACAAATCTTATTGCATTCTTTGACCAAGTGACAAAATTAATGGATCAGAGGAATGCTGTGGATATAATTTACTTGGACTTCAGTAAGGCATTTGATAAAATAGATCACAACCTACTACTTGATAAGATAGAAAAATGTGGGTTAGACAGCATCACCACCAGATGGATCCGTAGCTGGCTGACCGGCCGTACTCAGTGTGTGGTCCTCAATGGAACCGCATCTCCATGGAGGGAAGTGTGTAGTGGGGTGCCCCAGGGCTCTGTTCTGGGCCCAGTGCTCTTCAACGTCTTCATCAACAATATGGACAAGTGGATAGATGGGGAAATCATCAAATTTGCAGACGACACCAAGCTGGCAGGAATAGCCAACACTCCAGAAGACAGACTTAGGATACAGGAGGATCTGGACAGACTTGAACATTGGGCGCTATCTAACAAAATGAAATTCAATGGTGAAAAAAGCAAGGTTCTACATTTAGGCAAGAAAAACCAAATGTACAGGTATAGTACAGGGGGTACCTTGCTCAATAGTAGTAACTGTGAGAGGGACCTCGGAGTCCTAGTAGACAATCACTTAAATATGAGCCAGCAGCGTGCTGCAGCTGCCAAAAAGGCCAACACAGTGCTGGGCTGCATTAACAGAGGGATAGAATCAAGATCACGTGAAGTATTAATACCACTTTACAATGCCTTGGTAAGGCCACACTTGGAATACTGCATCCAGCTTTGGTCACCACGATGTAAAAAAGATGCTGAGACAGAGTACAGAGTACAGAGAAGAGCAACAAAGATGATTAGGAGACTGGAGGCTAAAACATATAAGGAACGGTTGCTAGAATTGGGTATGTCTAGTTTAACGAAGAGAAGGACAAGGGGGGACATGATAGCAGTGTTCCAATATCTCAGGGGCTACCACAAAGAAGAGGGAGTCAAGCTATTCTCCAAAGTGCCTGAGGGCAAGACAAAAAGCAACGGATGGGAACTAATCAAGGAGAGAAGCAACCCAGAATTAAGGAGGAATTTCCTGACAGTTAGAACAATTAACCAGTGGAACAACCTGCCTCCAGAAGCAGTGAATGCTCCAACACTGGAAGTTTTTAAGAAGAGACAGCCATTTGTCCAAGATGGTATAGGGTTTCCTGCCTGAGCAGGGGGTTGGACTAGATGACCTCCAAGGTCCCTTCCAACTATTATTATTATTATTAATAATAATAATAATTGCATCATCTCCTACAAAAAGATGATGAAATTAATATGTTACAATTGTAAAATTAACCAGTGGAACAACCTACCTCCAGAAGCGGTGAATGCTCCAACACTGGAAATTTGTAAGAAGAGACTGGACAGCCATTTGTCTGAAATGGTATAGGGTTCCCTGCCTGAGCAGGGAGTTGGACTAGATGACCTCCAAGGTCCCTTCCAACATCATTATTATTATTATTATTATTATTATTATTATTATTATTATTATTATTATTATTAGATCAATGAGAGCCAGTTTGGTATGGTGGTTAAGATACCACGCAAGAAAGTGAGTGACTATGAATTCTAATCCTGCCTTGGGCAGAAAGCCCTCTGGTTGACGTTGGGTCAATCACTTTCTCTCAGTTCTAGGAAAGAGGCAATAACAAAACACTTCCAAATTTTTGCCAAGAAAACTGCAGGGATTTGTTCACACAGTCTTCAGAGATCAATGTTAACTCAAGGACACCATAAATAAAGAAACCACTAAGAATAGTTTTCCACAACTTACTGTATCCCAATTTTACTATGGTCTAATGCAGTGGCTCCCAACCTTTTGGACACTAGGAACCGGTTCTGTGGAAAGAGAGGCGGACCGGAAGTTTTGCGTATTACCTGTATCCCACAGAAGGGACTTCACATTTGCACAGCCCAGTTTCTGAAATGCCGGAGCCCAATGCCGGTCCACACACCGAGAGTTGGGGTTCCCTAGTCTAGTGAGTTGCACAAGCCCAGTTCCCTAGTAACTGGGAAGGTCCATTAGCAGAAACACTGATGAAGGACAGCTGGTCTGATTAAAGCACTGATCTAAATTCCAGGGCTGTCCATTTGTTCTTCAAATTCACCTCTGGATGTTGTGAAACCAGTTGTGTGTGATTCAAGTCATGCATTTCCTTCAAAAATGGGAATGATTTTTCTAAAAAACACCAATTTCTGTTCGGCTTTCTTTTTTCAACTTTCTGCTTCTATTTCCCCCAGGTTTGCTCAGCCCATCCTTACCTGAAGAAACATAGAAGAGAAGAAGCAATGCAAAGATTAGGAAAAGAAACCTCATGATTGAAGTTGCCTCTAAAATCTCTCCGGCTAGTTCACAGAAGCAGAACTGAAGAAAAGTTAGGAGGACTCCATAAAAAGCCCAGCAGATCTGTCTATTTATAAAAAGTTACGATGTCATGACAATGTGGAAATGTCAGATAGTTCACTGATGTGGCAGACATTGCAAACTTGTATTTCCTGTCACTCTATTTTAGAACTACTTCTCCCCTCCCTTTTTTTTTTTTTTTTTCAAAACTTTAGGTTCCCTATTGTGTTTGCTGGATAATTCTTGTCCTAGGTGAAGTTTGTAGTTTTGCTCAATTGCCAGTTGTAGTACTTCCTGCTGTTAACAGGGCAGATGAGCAGCTCAGAGGTGCAAAAGTGTCTATACTTGGCCCACAGAGAAAAGAGAATGTTGCAGCTTCACCATTATGAAATTGCCTAGTGAAGCAATTGGGGAAGGATCAAGGTTTGAAAAGTCAAGAAGACTCAAGAATAGAAAAAACTGGATCCACTGGGCTTGGAAGGGGGATGTTCAACCCAAAAGAAAGGCCCAAGCAGCCATGTTGAGATGTCTAAGAAAAACTCTGCATGTCCCAGCTATACAGAACCTTGGTTGTGGAAAGGCGAATTCAGCAGAGAATGTATTTGTTGAAATTCACACACTTCCTTTGACGTGTATTGTACCTTAAAAAGACTGCTTAATGTGTTGTGGAGGAAGTGGGGGGAAGGACAGTTATCTTCAGAACAAGCCCCCTCTCAAGGCTCTGAGTTCAGTAGTTTATCAGTGATTAAATTCTGGCACCTATATCACACAATGTGTGTATACATGTGGCTTATGTTTCTTTATAAATTTTGATGTTCTTCTCATGTGGCCATTACCTAGTCTTCTTATTGGTAAAGGAGAAGACAATGAAAATGATCTTTTGGGATGCCCCCATTTCACACCAGACTTGTTTAAAATGAAGTACAAAAAGCCACAGAGCTTCTGATTGGGAGAGCTTATAGAAATCAACTTCTTGAACTCAGGATGGCTTTTGCATTAAAACTTCAGATACTGTATATACTGTAGGCATTCACAGGAACAATTTAACCTGTGGTGGCACAACTGGAGTGTAACTTAAGGCCCTAAATTACAATCAAGATAAAGTGCAACCCACCAAACATTGGCCAACAGAAACCTATCTGCTGCCATCCAATTGGCCTTCCTGAGTTGTGGGGGGGAAAATCAAGATGACACCCATAATCTAAAACCTATTTCTTTTTTTACACCACAGTCCTTGAAGGTCATATCCAAAGACTGGAGATGAAGAAAGGGATCCATCCTAATTTGGACAGTAGGAACTGGGTCTATCCCACACCTCTCAATCAACTGACCATGATACCATCTGAGTGATCTGTGAAGCTGGTCAAGATTATACACACAGCAATACTAGGTCTTGTTGCTTACTCAATGGGGAAACCATCAGGCTAGCTAAGGAAATGTTTAAGCTTCTTCGTGCATAAGTTGGAGACAAGATGAAGACATATGGAAGCATCTGAAAATTTATGGGTGCAATTGCTCATTATTTCATTAGAATACCAAGGTGGCCAAAAGGTCTCTCAGAATTCCAAATAGTAATAGGATTCATTTGCAGCAGGTGCATTCAAAACACAATACAAAATTCAAATATTTGATGCAAATTCATTAAATTGTTTAATTACAATGTTTTTTCACTGCTTGCTGTTACATAACAGTTTGCAACATTTTCCGTTAAGACCACAGTTGTTGGATGTTCCACCCTAGAGAAGCAAGGTTCTTGTTAAGGAACATAGCAATAATATCCCAGGGTTTTACAACTGCTTGTTGGTTGGTGGTTTCACTGCAGAAAAGAAACAAAAGAGTTTATTACTGATGTGACTGTGTCTTGCCCTAGGCAATGGCTGTAGTATAGACAGGTGGGGGAGGTGGGGATCACAATTTCAGATTGGATGGTGAATCTACTCAGTTAATTGCTTATTGTTTCAATTGTTCACTTGCTCAAATATGACAAGCTATCCATGGTTCTTCCAAAGGTCACACTGAGGTTCTGCATGAATCTCTCTTGATCAGAAAAAAATATTCAACTAGCTTAGCATCCCGTAAACAACACCGCTATCCACCTATTTTAGAGAAGCCTACAAGAAAAACACCTTATAACAGTGGGCAAACCTATGGCACGGGTGCCAGAGGCAGCACTCAGAGCCCTCTTTGTGGGCATACGCATCATCGCCCCAGTCCTAGGCCTTCAGTTGGGTTTTATAAAACTTTTTTGCTTTAGGCCTCTGCCGCCGTGTGCAAAAAAAAAAAAAGGGTTCAATCAGTCAATTTCAACTTCTCGTGGGAAAAAAAGGTCTTGCAAAGTTGGAATTGATTGATTGAATTTTTTAGTCCCACCCAGTCTGCCATTACCACCACAGCCACAGCCACACCCACCCAATGGGCCACGCTCACCCAATGAGCAATACCCACCTGGCACTCGATGATGCATAAGTGGGTTTTGGGTTGCAGTTTGGGCACTCAGTCTCTAAAAGGTTTGCCATCACTGCCTTATAAGAACACTATGGAGCTCAGAAATTAAGGACATGGACCTTTTATCTCATAGCATTTACAGTGTGGACCCTAGCTATGCCATCATTCTTCAGTTAAAAAGTCATTCCTAGCATATTCTACACCAAACCTCGTTCACTTCCAGTTTGTTTTCACAGATCAGAAGCTACTCAGCTTACCACTTGGTAAACATAGAGAAAATTACTCATTTTTAATGTCTTTTTTCATGTGATGAACCACCTATTGATACAGTCTGATTCTTGGGGGTCATCAGTAAGTGTATATCTTAAAGTTGTAGCATCCTAATAGCTAACACAATGCAATTGTAAGAATAAATAAGCAAAAATTAAGGGACTGGGAGATAGTTTTACAGAATCAGCTCACATGAAGTATATATAAGTATGACAATAGATTTGTGCAGGTGTTTTCCTGTGCTGAAATTGCAGAACTCGCTTGATAAATGTGGAATATCTATAATCCTCACTTCCAGTATGTGCTATAATGCTAAGTCTGTCCAAAATTGGTGTTCCAAAATAGGGAAAGATTAATGAATGAAAAGCCTTTATACCTCATTTCATTTCCCAGCATATTTAGATCCTCTGAAAAAGTGTTGATGGTTCAAGTAAGCACATATTAAATAAGAAAATGGATACTTGTTTAAAAAAACAAGTCAGATTCCTTTTTTAAAAAATTGTTAATGGGGCTTCTCAATTATGCTTTTCAGATGAACAAATGAACAGATATAAAACTCCAGTTGATCAATAGCTGATAGCAAATATAGAAAACTTGCTACCTTGCAAACAACTAATACTTATGAAAAGTTTTGCAGAAGAAAGATGCTATGCCCATATGTTTCTCATCTCATAACTAAGGGAAAAATGGCTCTCACCGGTCCACGCTTGCAGCAGAGGGCATTAATGCCACAGTTGTATGGGAGGCTTCCAAACTCGCATTCCTTTTGGAGACCAGTCTGACAGAAACCACCATCGCTTATACAGTTTCTTAATTGCCCTGTATTTATAAAAAATTATTTGAGTGAGCAGTTGTCATCAAAACACTATCATATATTTCACCAACAATAAATCAATGAAAGGAGAGAAGAAAGTTTATTTTATTGACTTCATTTAGCCAGCATATGTCATAGCTGTTTATCTCTTTCAAATACACTACTTTCAATATGCAAGAAAAAAATCAGTTGAGCCTGAGTTTTCTGAAAAAAAATTTAGGAACCTGGGGATAACCTCATATTTCAAGATGGGTACTGTATGTATGCGATTGGCTGCCGAGCAATGGAAGGAAAGCCTATAGCAACTGCAGCAATAGGAAATGTTTAAGATCCTAAAAATGAAGGGGAATCCCAAGCAGAAAGTGCACCAACTGGCCAGCCCTAATGCTATGGTCTTAAATATACTAATAAAGGGCAGCATGAAAGAGAACAAGAAGAAAGAAAACTGGAAGAAAGAAGGGGCAAGGGAGATGTATCAATATGTTCCTGGAAAGAACCAGGCAAATCTCTTTAGACATAGACATTGCTCTGTTCATAAACTCTAGATCTGTCTTAGGCACAGCAACTGGCTGATCTTGTGCCAGTCATTCCTTCCCAATCCTAAAATGGAAGTAATGGCCAACCATTTCCAAAATCTTGCCAAGAAAGCTGTCCATGCATTTGCCACTAGTGAACATCAATTCATGTTAGTGTTTTCTAATGGGTTGCAAAAATCCAATTGCACACAATAAATCTGCTGTTATATTAATTCTTTCGTCATCTAACAACCACTAAAATTCTGAGCTTAGTAGCCAAGACGGTTCATAAGCGGAAAGACTGATGGAGAAGGACAGCTGATCTGACTAAAGCACTTATCTGAGTTCTAGAGCTGGCCATATGTTCTTTGGAGGTGCCTCTGGATGTTGTGAAAACAGTGGTGTGTGATTCAAGTCAAGAATTTTCCTCAAAAATGGGAATAAGATTTTTTTAAAAAAAAAACCAACAACACTAATTTCTTTCATGCTTTCTGTTTTTTCCTCCTCTGCTTCAATTTCCCCCAGGTTTGCTCAGCCCATCCTTACCTGAAGAAACATAGAAGAGAAGAAGCAATGCAAAGATTAGGAAAAGAAACCTCATGATTGAAGTTGCCTCTGAAATCTCTCCGGCTAGTTCAAAGAAGCAGAACTGAAGAAGAGTTAGGAGGACTCCACAAAAAGCCCAGCAGATCTGTCTATTTATAACAAGTTATGATGTCATGACAATGTGAAAATGTAGGGTAGATCATTAATCATTGATATGCATCATTGATATGGCAAATATGGCAAACAGTTTGCTTCCTGTTACTCTCCTTTTAAAATTCTACTTCCTCCCCATCCTTTTTATCAAAATCTAGTGCACCCCATTCGGGTCACTGGATATTTCTTGTAACATATGCAAGTCTGTGGTTTTCATCACATGCATATTGATGAATCTTCGAATGCTACTTGCAACTTTACTAAAGTGTGCTGTAATGAAATGCAAAACAATTTGTTTAATTCACATATGTGATTATAATTATACAGGATGGAGGCAATATTAGCATTAGAATTTGTGCAATGTTTGCCGATTTGATAAGTATGTTTGAAGTAATAACAAATATGGAAAATTATGTAACACTTAATTGTCTTGTGATTTGTCAAATACTTATTTATCCAGTCACCAATATTTTTGGGAGAGGACAAATTGTAGAAAACTCCTGGGAAACTATGGAGATTAATATCTTTGTATTTGTTTTGTATTTTCTGGAAATTTTCCAACTCCTTCCTTATAGTCCCAAAGTATTTGCTTTTTATGCGTTGGTCCTCAAATAAATATTAGTATGTTAAGTTACTAGGTGGAGACACACTAATCCCACTGGAGATATAATCTGTCTTCTTTGCAATTTAAAGAACCCCATATCCATTGCCAAAAAATACATTGAACTCTTATACAAACAAAATGTTATCATTTGAGTGAGCAGTTTTCATCAAAGTACAATGGTCATGACTTTCATGGATAAATTGATAAAAATGGACAAGAAAGCTTGATATGACTGATTGCATATAGCCAGCATATTACAAGTATTTCCAATACTTGATCAGATTATTCAGTTGCACTCTTTAAAGTAATCCTATGATAGATCTGTAGAAAGATCCCAGAAGCATCTGCAGGACTGCTAATGTACTAGAAGGCAAGATCAAGTCTAATGACCCTGAGTTACAACAGGAAAGATTGAGTGAACATTAAGGAAAATATATTGAGTAGATTCTCATAAGGCAGGGGCCTCCAAATTTGGCAACTTTAAGACTTGTGGACTTCAACTCCCAGAATTCCCCAGCTGAGGAATTCTAGGAGCTGAGGTTCACAAGTCTTAAAGTTGCCAAGTTAGACCCCTGTCATAAGGGATGATTTTTTTTATTTTGCAAGACAAGAACTAGAGAAGTAGTGTCTCTCCTTTTTATTTGCTCATATCCTACTGATGCTGTTAAATCACATAATTAGCACGTGAAATTACCAAATACCTTCCCCAAGACATATGAGCTGCCATCCTCTTGGCTCTTATCTCGGCAACATTTCAGCCGGAAATGGTAACACGTTCCAATCTCAATTTCATTGTAGTAACATTGACTATTCCGGTGGCATCTTCCTCCTCTTTGCCAACAGAGTCTGGCAGATAAGTTCAGGCTTGATCCTTAACAAAGGAAAATTGTAATCAAAACCACTTGATACTCATGCAAAATGAATAAGAAATAGGTTGAAAATCATTTGTAGCTTAGTGGTTCAAACACCTACTGTGCATGCAATAAATTTTCAGTTCAACACGAGATATCTTCAAGTAAATGATTGTAACCAAAAACACCTTGCCAGAGGTCTGACCATTGTTGCAACTGGGGAATTAAAGAAGATAGTAGTGGACTAGTGGTTGATGATCTGAAGGCAAATCAGCATTCCAGTTTGCCCCAGTGTAAGCCTGAACCAGTCACCATTTCTGGGGCACAGATGCATGACACCATTCCTTAGCTCACTTCCAGGCAGTAACGCACACAATCTTTTGCCTGTGTTTTCTGGCTCCAAGTTAGAAATGATGTTTTTCACCCTACACTGGATCAACCCATATTCTCTGCTTTATGTGCTGCACTTCAACTTCTTATAAGCAAGATCAAGTAAAGAGTCATCTTATAGGAGAGATGGGCAGCATAAAATGTAATAAATACATTTAAAAAAACATTCTCTATTCCATTTGGCTGCTTTGTTCTGTGGCAGGAACACCTCTTTTCTTCCTTTTATCCACCATTACTTTTCACCAGGGAAACAGGGAAAAGATAAAAGATTTGTTCATTGAGAATGAATTGATGCGAGAGTTCAATGATGGGAAAACCTGCAGTTGTTTGGTTTACTTGCTTTAACCAGGTGAAATAAAATTGATGAGAATTCTGCCATTTTCCCCTTCTAGCTCAATGGTAAAACTGGTTTCCTTCCTTCCTTCCTTCCTTCCTTCCTTCCTTCCTTCCTTCCTTCCTTCCTTCCTATCCAGAAGGGCTAAAGCAGAGTAAGCTAACAATCAGAAGACATGGCAGACACAGTCCAGAAAGAACATAAGCCATCAAATGACCAAAACAAAAAGAAGGGGCTAAAATCCATTATGAGATTTATTAAATTGCTTTATTTCCAGCTGGTTTATGCATGGGAGATAAGCAATTGAAGAAAAGCCCTCAGTATAAAATAATATCAGATTCTAGATCTGTGAAATAGAATGTTTTTTCCCCAAATCTAGGATGTATTGATGATCACTGACATGAGGGTTTTACAATGGGTTGAAGAAAACAAGGCTATCTATGGCTACTTGTTATGATTGCTATGTATCATATCTAGAATTAAAGATAGTCTACTTTAATTCTAGTAACTGAATGAAGGGCCTTTGAGGAAAACAGAATGCTGTTGTGGGTCTGATCCAGCATAGCTCTTCCTAGATCAAGAGCTGAGACAGGGAAGGAGCACTGATAAATATAATCCTTTTGTCTTTCGTGAGTTCTAGTTCCCTCTTAGGCATAAAGCCAACTGGATAACTTTGAGCCATTCACTCTCTCGGCCCTAGGAAGGGGACAGTGGCAAGCCACTTCTGAAAATTTATCAAAAAAACTGCAATGATTTGTCCAGGTACTCACCATGGACTTAAATGCTCCACCCACCCATCCTGCAATTACACTGGAGATACTGATCTTGATGTGACACTATAGGCATCTCTTTCCCTTATCTAATATATGTTGGTCAACTTGTCTTTTTTTTTCAAGGGGGCCAATCCTCAAAAGGTATCCTGTAGAGCAGCAACTCTTACATATCTTACCTAAAGACATAAGGAAGATGGCAAAAAGAGCAACAATTAACAGCTTACAGGAACTCATGGCTGAGAGGGTCATAATCATCGATTAACTGGAACAAACAATAATAGAAAATGAATGTCAAATAAAACTTTTCAATGGCTAACTAGAAAAGGGGAAAATGAGTCATATAGTGCCAATTCTGTTTAGCATTTGTTTTATCTGTAATGATATGGAGAAAGAATGTGTTAGCCTCACATCAGATTAAACCCACAAACTCACCTTAACCAAGAGTAAGCATTCTGTTTCTCTATTGGTCAAAGCAAGTCATGTGACAACTCTGGAATGCTCCATTGTTGATTTTTTTTTTCTGTCTTAGATTTTCTATTAGAAAAGTTCATGTTCTGGCCATGGTAGAGATAATTTCTTAGACCCTAAAGATATCTTGGCGACGTTTCAATGAAGTCTCATTCGTCATCTTCAGGCTGGTGTTTTCGGCTTCGTGCTTCTAAGCACGAAGCCAAAAACACCAGCCTGAAGATGACGAATGAGACTTCGTCGAAACGTCGCCAAGACACTTCCAATTTGACGCGGGAGAAAACCCGAACAACCAAAGACCCATATATATATTGCTCAACCAACTGAAATATTGCTAGTAAATGTAATGTATATGTAACTAAAATTACATATGGAGCTGTAAAGAACTTGAACAGATTTCACTAAATCAAAGTAATAAGTATTAAAACTCAAATTCAATAGAATTTGGTTTAATAGAAATCTTTTATACAGGGATTTCTTTTACCTCCTAACTTAGCCTATGTTTTGCTGAGATTTCCTGATGGTTTTTCATCAATATTAATTATATCTAAGCTTATTTCATTTTTTCTATTTCAAAATCAGCCAAGGTCATCTGGATTCTGCCTTCTGCTATCAAAATCTTATACATACATTGATAAAAAGTAGTTGACAAATAAAATGGATGTAGATATTGTATTAACTTCACATTCCTGTGAGATGAGTGGTGTATAAATGTAATAAATAGCTTAATGACAAAATACATGCAAACTCTCACTAAAATAGAAAAACCCTTGATTGATTTGATTGACCAAACCAATAAAACATAACTGCAAATTTTAAAATATAGAAAACAAAATCTGAAACAATAATGAAAAAAGAGTTTCAATTAATTTCCACAAGCTATGGCTATTGAAATTACATAGTATGTTTGGTACAGTGTCTACAATATATAAACCACTAATTCAGTCACTTAGGTGAGATGAGTGGTGTATAAATTTGGTAAATAAAATGATAAATAAAATTGCCAGGAGAGAAAAGTCACAATATGCCAGACCAGAATCAATCTGCCTCCTTGGAGATGAAGAAAACCTATCAATAGGGTGAGGTGAACCAGACATTCATCCAAAAGATTCATTTATGCCTAAAAATATGAGTGGTAAAATCTCAGGTTAGACCCAAGAGAAACATAGTCAAGCTGTAATGAAATAAAGGCATTTATAATTGAGAGAGGGATACAAAGTATGGATCAGAAACTGAACAGTTTCTTAAATTAGGGCCATTTTTATAAACCAAAGCTGTGCATCATATAGCAACAAGCCCAGAATATTTGCTTTAGTTAGTTCAAATGCTGCAAGGACTTAATTACTGCATGGAAAAAGCAAATTTAGCCATTCATCTGAACAAGTAAAAACTTGCTGTCTTCAGGTCTCCCAGTTGAAAGCATGATGGTTGGCATTTGGGATGATAGTGAACCAGCTCATATACACCAATTGCTATTTCTTTTATAATCTTCAGAAATTCAGTTGACTTCTGCCTGAATAAGGTATTCTTAGGAAAAGAGTTAAATGCAAAATGATGGCCAAACTGCCTTAATACCA